TCACAGTCAGGGACACGGGGAGGAGAGGACCAGCCCTCTAAGTCCCAGGGGACAGGATGTGGAGGAAACTGGATCACACCCATGAGGGCAGGTGGGCTCCACGCTCCATGAGCAAGGGCCAGGCTTGGAGGGGCCACAGCGCCTCTGTAAAGGCCACACTCAGAGCCAGCCCAGCTGTGGGTCACATAGCCAAGGAGCAGCTGGGGAGCCAAGGACAGCCAAGAAACAGTGTGGTGGGGCCTGTGGTCAGTCAGGGACCCGCTGGGCTGCTGGAGGCTAATCCCATTAAAGACAGCGGGGGGGCACAGCAGTCTTGGGAAGATGGGGAACATGTGCTCTAGGGAGAGAAAGCGTGAGAGAGTGTGCGTGCGTGTGTACAGAGCAGCCGCCCACAGCTGCAGTGGGGTAAAGGCAGCTGGTGGCTACCTGCCCACTGCCGGCCAGCCCAGCTGACCTTCCTGGCCCTCTGACTCATCACAGCTAAGAATAAGACAGGAACAGAGAAGGGGGGCAGTGAATCCCAGGAAGGCTGAGTGTGGCCCAAAAGCACCCGAGCTGGCAAATCCTGCGCTGCACCAGGCAGGACCCTGGTTCTGGAGCCAAGAAGGGTGGTGACACCAGAGACCAGAACTCCTGTCTTATCGGGGCAAACAGAACAGAGCCCGGATTGCAACACACGGATTTCTTTCGTTGCAGGGCTGGGATGGAACCCACAGCCTCCTGCACGCTAGACAAGCGCTCACCACTGAGCTGCACCCCTGATGCACCCACCTCAAAACCTGGCCTTGGAGGCCAATGCACACCCAGCCCCAAAGAGCATCCATGTCCTCCAGTGCAGCAATGGACCGTGCTGTGTCCACCCAGCCCCTGCTGACCGGAGCTTGGGTGGTGGCCAATCCTCTGCTCAAACAATGACCCAGTAGGTTCCCTTAGAAACTGCTTCTTACACAGCGAAGCCTGATCCTGGACTAATAAGGGCTTTGCTTAATAATGTCTAAGCCTGCAGGTGTCAGAAAACAAGGGGAAAGGCTCAGGTTAGGTCTGATGACCGACATACGCACTCAGAACCAGAGCCCAGGATGTCTTAGGGGAATCTCGTGCACAAACCTCATCACATAAAGCCCAGCATATTCCTAGAGGTTTGGGCTCCATAAATACAGTAGTGTTTAAATTTTAACAAAAAACAGATACTTTCCAAATCTACACTGTCCAATACAGTGACCAAAAGTGACAGAATGCGTGCAATGTTCTAGCATCTCATGCTATTATATGCTTTATTTGTGCCACCTCTCCCACACACACACACACACACACACTGTCAGTCCCCTGAGTACAGTGAACTTAGGTGTTGTCCCTGCTGACCACAGAGCCCCTGGGGTACTGCACTCTTACAAAGGACCTTCAGAATCCACAACCAGGTCCAGAAGGAGCCTCTGGAAAATGCAAAATCCACACAGACATAGTTGTGATCAGTGCATGAGGACACATCCCACCAGGTTGTAGGGAACACAGATCAATAAGCTGGGTGATTTTAAAAAGTCCTGATTCTGATCATGGTGATAAATGCACAAGTCTGTCAATGCGCAAAAGGCCACTGGTGGTGGGGTGGGGATCATGAATTATACCCAATAAACTGTTAAAGAAAGATCAGGATGGCCAGGGGCCAGTGGCTCATGCCTGTAATTCTAGCTATTCAGGAGGCAGAGATCAGGAGGATCAAGGTTCGAAGTCAGCCCAAGCAAATAGTTTGAGAGACCCTGTCTTGAAAAAACACATCACAAAAAAAGGGTTGGTGGAGTGGATCAAGTGGTAAAGCGCCTCCCTAGCAAGTGTGAGGCCCTGAGTTCAAACCCCAGTACTGCCATAATAAAGGCCAGGATGACTCAGGGTCACCTCAGAAAAAGCTTTAAAATACACTAGGACCGCCCCCACCTCAACAAGAGGCCACAGCATCTAAACTAGATTCATTCACGTTTAGAAAAATGTGAATGCAACCAAGCGTGGCGTAATCCCAGGCCTATAATCCCAGCACTCGGGAGGCTGAGGCAGGAGGATATAGAGTTCAAGCCCAGCCTGGACTACACGGTGAGAGCTGTCTCTAAACAAAAGTTTTGAGTCCTGGCTGTGTGGCCTGGATAAGTCAACCAACCTCTCTGACCTGCAGCTCCCCACTGCCAAACAGAGTGTCGTCAGTCTAGCTCTCAGCGTTGGGAGGAGACAGTGGTCTTTTGGGACGACTCCCTGATGCGACATCCACACTAGTGCCATTGCTACTATTACTGTCATTGTCACTGTTGTGAGCACTATTTTTTTTTTTTTGGTGGTGGTGGTGGTGGTGGTACCATGGTTTTGAACTCAGGGCCTCATGCTTGCCAGGCAGGTGCTCTACCACTTGAGCCACCCCCTCCCCCTGCCCTTTTTCGCTGTAGATTATTTTTCAAATAGGGTCTCTAATTTATACCCAGGCTGGCCTGAACCATGATCCTGTGTAGCTGGGATGACAGGCATGCAACACTGTGCCCAGCCATTGGTTGAGATGGGGTCTCATGTACTTTTTGCCTGAGCTGCCCTTGAACCTTGACACTTGCACCCTCTGCCTCCCAAGTAGCTAGAATTACAGATGTGAGCCACCACACGTGGCTTCACCGTTTTTTGGTAAACAGCTCAAAAAGCCACATACAAAAATGCCAAATCTCCCCACCCCCCAGAAAACCTGGGCTCATCCTGTCTTGTTCCAGGACAAGCCAACGTCCCTCAGCACAGCATGGTGGGAAAGACCCCTCTCTGGGCCATTTCGGGTCCCTCGCTCCTATTATGCCCCTAGCCTAGGAGACTCCCAGCACAGGTCAGAATGGCAGCACCTAGGGGCACAGTAAGAGGATGGTACTGAGCCCAGGAGCCTGGACCCTGAGCCAGTCACAGGCCAGGGTTCTAATCGTCCTCTGCTAGAGATGACGCATGGAGCTTGAGTGGGCTCAGGGCCTCTGTGGGCCTCGGCCCCCGTCTGTAAAATCGGGGTGTAGTCTAACAACATCCTGGCCCTGAAGGTACATGGAGGGCAAGTTGTACTAGGAGCACCTTGGACATATACACTATTCTTAGCAGCAGCTGTCTTACCAAGCCCTGCGTAGCTCCTTCAGGCCCCTGTCCCCCCAGGCACGTCCTCCCTGCCTAGATGCCCCAGCCACCCTAGCCCCCTCTCTAGGCTTCAAACCTACCCAGCTTCCCCACTTAGGGGCCACCCATGGCTGCTCAAGGCCTAGCAGTCCCGTCTGGACAACTGCTCCTGGCCTTCCCATACTGCCCCACAGCACCAGGATTCAGATACCCCTCCCACCTGAAGTCCCTCCTGATGCACCACCAGGATTGATGCCCAGGGCCAACCAGCGCGTTTCCCTCAGCACCCGCATGTCTGCAGAGAAGGAGAACTGGCCAGGCTCTGGAGCCAGAGGGACAGACGCCTGGCTTTAAATCCACTTCAGCACCAGCTTGCTCTGCCTGGTTTTCCATTTGCAAGGCCAAATAACCACAGTCCCAGCTTGCAGGTAGGGGGAGAGGGAGGGGGGACGGAGTTGTTGGCACACAAGAGTCACACTTGCACACCATGCTTACTGCAGCCCTATTCGAGACAGCCAAGCTATGGAGTCAGCCTACTGGCCATCAACTGATGAGGAGATAAAGAAATTGTGGTCTGTGTACACAGTGGAGTACTATTCAGCCATAAAGAAGAATGAAATAGTTTGTTTGCAGGAAAATGGATGGAACTGAAGATCACTGTGTTAAGTGAAATGTGCCAGACTGAGAAAGACAACAGTCACATGTTCTCTCCAATGTGGACTCTAGACATGAACGTAACAAATGGGGGGAGGGGAATCAATGAAAGGTGGGAGGAAAAAAAAAGAGGGTGTGGGGGGAACAATATGACCAAAGGATATTGTATGCACATATGAAAAGGTCATAATCAGACACATAAAAAATTTTATAAGGTCGAGAAAAAGGGGTGTTGGGGGAGGGGGATAAGACAGAGTAACAGAGGGGTGAATATGGTCAAAGACCCACGTAAACATACACAGAACTATCACAAGGAACCCCCTCACTTTGTGCAATAGACACTGTTTGGGGCACACAGGAAGTGCTTGAAAGTCTCAATAATCAGCTCGCTGTCTGTCGGGTCCCAAGCATCCTGCCTTTCCCTCCTGATTCCCCCAAAATTGGACCACAGTCATTTAACTCACCTGGGAACAGAGCAGGGACTCGTTAAAGTAAAAGAAGGGTAAACTAGTCTAACTGAAGAGCAAGCCAGCCAGATACATGCAAGGAAGAGCCTGGAATCCATCCCTGGCCTGGGCCCAATGGCTCCACTCTAAAGCCCAGGTCCAAATAAGTCAAGAGGCAAAACGAGTGAGTAAGCTGGGCAAGGTGGCACCGCTTGTGATCCCAGCACTTGGGAGGCTGAGGTAGGAAGATCCCAAGTTCCAGACCAGCCTGGGCCACAGAGCAAAATAAGATCTGTCTCAAAAAAATACAGATATTAACAACAATCACAACAAAACAAAGGAAGGAAGAAACAAGTGGCACAGGCAGAAACCCAAGAAAACTCCCAAGCTCAAGGGAGAGACGCAAACTTCCTGTTAAAAATGAGCCAGCTGCAAAAAAAAGAGAAACCTGGGCTCTGCACCCCCGGACACTCACAAGAGGTGAGGGCCCTGGCCGCCTGGGGCTCGTGTCCTCTGCCTGAGATTGTAACCCACTCAAAAAGCGGGCCACCATCTATGACCATCGAAGAACTGAGATTAAGGGCTGGGGACGGGTCACCAGGAAGCAGGCAGGGTTAAGGTGGGAAGCGGTTGGTAGCGAAGTTGTTGGAAGGTTCATCTTTTCTGCAGAAGGGTTTATGTCAATCACAGAAATCCTTAAACAGCCCTCAACACAGTTCTAAGAGCGTTATGTGCATCAACTCAGGTATCCCCACAGCACACCTACGAGGCAGGTATTCTTACCGTTCCCCATTTAACAGCTGTGGAAACTGAGGTGCTGATGTAAAATGGCTCCTGGCCTGCACCAGAAGGCTCACTCAGGGGCCTACCCACGTCCATGCCAGCTTCCTTCTGGATCCTTGGACTTGGCTTTGGCCCAGGGTGGGCACTGTCAGGAAATACAAGACAAATAATGACCCTAGTAACAACGGCAGCCCAATGCTCATAACAGCAGCACATCACAGCAACAGGACCCGCGTGTGAACAGCGTTTATTCATTCATTTACAACTCCGAGAGGAAGGGCACTACTGTCAACTCCATCCTGCATGTGAGAAAATGGAGACACAGAGAGGGAAAGTCTCAGTGTGTCCCAGGTCACAGCTAGCAAAAGAACAGAGAACACATGGCTCTCTGTGTCACTATGTGCCTCTACAGATGTCCACAACTGTGGCCTCCCTGAGAAAGGGACAGTGGTGTGTCACTTGCCATGGCATGTGTCCTCGGCACCTAGCACTGGAGCCACAGTAAAGAGATTAGGGAAAGGAAAAGAGGGAGGGAGGGAGACACCGGAGGCTACTGTTATATGGCACTGATTGTAAGACCCGTGTTTCTTCACGTTTGAACATCTGAGACCAATGTCTATGTCTCGCTGCCGGTCCATCCCGTAAACACTGCTGGCCACATGTTCGTGTCATGATGTCTCTAACACTGGGATGTGTGCCACCACCATGGGCCTCCTGGATCTGAGATGTGGCCTGCCTCACAGTGTCAACAGTCTGGCCTGTTCTCTAAGTCATCTGTACCACTTGGGGACAGAGAGAGGTTTATTTCTAAGTTTCCAGAATCAAGAAGGAAAAATGAAAACTTCCCTGACTTCTAAGGAAAGGGATAGTCACCACAGGCTCCCCCCAACAACCCAGTTACCCTTAGTGGGGAGGACACATGTCATTGTCAAGGCCCCTGACCAGGCCTCACAGGGGAACTGGCCAGCAGCCTGATCTCTGACTATCTCTCCCTGCCAGCTGCCATCTTGTCTCCACAGGGCACAAGCCCAGGCCAGCTTGTTTTTGCCAAACCCAGGCGGAGAGACAGCAAGAAAGTCTTCCACTAGCCAAGACACAGTCCCTCCCAAAGCACACGGTCACCCAGAGCTTCGGCCTGCCAGGAAGGGAACTGCTCTGCACAACAGGCTGGCTGCAGGTGCGAAGCCACCAGGATGATGGGCGAATTCCAGCCCATCACCCAGATGGAGGCTACCTGCACTCCTGACAGGTTCTCCGATGCCCTGAGCCCACACCAGGGGCTCTCCACTGTGGTGACGCTGACGCATGGAGCGGTCCCTTGCCCCTTCCCCTGACTTGTCACAACCAAAAATGTTCCCAGACATTGGCAAATGCCCCCTGGGAATAAAAACACCCAGCGCTGAGAGCCACTGGTCCACGTGATTTGCAGAATATCATTTCTATAGTAGGGATACACAGTCAGCCCTCTATATCTGTGGATTCTGCATCCTCAGATTCAACCAACTATGGACTGAAAACATTTGGGAAGAAAGTTGCATCTGTACTAAGTATGGAATTTTTTTTTTCTTGTCATTATTCCCTAAATAGCAGAGTGTAACAGCAGGCTCAGAGGTCAGATTGCTACGTGAATACTGCCCACAGCCCTCGCTAGCTGTATGAATGTGGGCAAGCTTAACTGTGCCTCAGTTTCCCCATCTAAAACAGAGATCAGAAGGGCCCAATTACAATGGGCCTCAAGCAAGGTTTGCACAGATAAGGCCTAGCATACTCCTTGACAGAGAGCAATCCTCCATGTGTGTTATTTATCAAAATGGACGCTTGGTGGGGGTTTCGCTCAATGGGAGAGCATTTGCCTGGCAAGCACAGGCCCCAAGTTCAGTCCCCAACACTGAAAAAACTAAATCAATAAAAAACACTCATCAAAGTCACACAGAAAGACAAGAAAAAGCAAAGACTAAACTGACTAAGTCACTGGGTTTTTGGACACTTGAGAAGGGAACAGCATTTAAGGGTTGCATTTTAAATACTCCTGTCTTAGAGCTAATGGCTAAGCAAGGACAGGGGACAGGAGGCAAGCCCGGCTCCCTGGAGGGATCAAGGCCGTAGTCATCAGCTTGCCACCGCTTCACTACCCCTTCTCTCTAAGCTCCAGCCACACTGCTGGAGCTCTGCGCACGCTTACTCCACTGGCTCAAACCTTCCTACCTTCTGTTTTTGCCTATGAAGCAGAAACTGCAGTTGCTCCCCAACATCCACTCCCCCTCATCTACAAGTCATGTGCAGCAGGGCACACGCCTGCCCAGAAAAGAAATACATTTCCCAGCCTCCTTTGCAGCCAGAGGCAACCATGTGACTAGCTGCCAGCCAATGGGATGTGAAGGAGACCTATGGGCCAACTCCCAGGTTGTGCCCTTCTCCCCTTTCCCCTGGGTTGGCATGTGGATATAGAGAAGCGCCATCTTGGTCTGCACAGGTAAGGGCAGCAGAGTAACGGGATGCAAGGAGCCTAGGCCCCTGACCTTTTCTGGGACACAGCTGCCACACCAGTTGAGATTTTTACATGAGAGAGAAATTCGTATGTAAGTTTAGCCAATGTATCTGAGGTCTTTGCCACACACAGCCAAGCCTACTTGGTAATACAGGATTACCACTCAGGGTCCCCTTTCCTCTCCAGCCAGACCAAACCCCCTACTGCACTCACTGTGTACCAAGCAGCTCCCCTCCACAGCATTTCATGGCTTTTCCATTTATTTCTCCAGTTCTCCCACAGACTGAAAGTTCAAGGAGGGCAGAGGCCCTGCTATGGGCACCACTGGATGCCTGAGCCCAGTTAACATTCAGGACACCGTGAGAGAGAGTGGAGAAACAGGCCAGGCACGACACCAGAGCCTCCCTCCCACCAGGAGCAAAGACACCCAGTCACTTAAGCCCTGTCTCCCATTTCCCCACGACCTCTCTGTGCACATGGGTTACAAAACAAGACTATGACCAACTGGCTCCAGAAGGAACAATTATTGGCAAAGTACTTAATTAGGTTTGTGTTTACATTTCATCTTCAAATAAATATCTGTGAATGAAGACAAATAGTCTGTATCTAAGACAGACGAATCAATGAAATCAAACAATAGAGACTGGGTTTACATAAGGTTCCCTCTTGTTTTTCAAAAATACTACCTATCCGGGGCTGGAGGTGTGGCTCAAGCAGCAGAGTGCCTGCTTTGCAAATGTGAAGTTCTGAGTTCAAACCCTGGTCCCACCAAAATAAATACATAAATAAAAAATATTACCTATTCAGTTTCTTTGGAGAAGAGACTGGAAATTAAAAACGCCCATCACGTGCCAGAAGTGGTGCTCAAGAAGGGGGCTGGACAAGATGCCCCAGCACTGACGAATGGATTAAGAAAATGTGGTATCTATACACAATGGAATTTCATGCAGCCATGAAGAAGAACAAAATGTTATCATTCGCTGGTAAATGGATGGAATTGGAGAACATCATTCTGAGTGAGGTTAGCCTGGCTCAAAAGACCAAAAATCGTATGTTCTCCCTCATATGTGGACATTAGATCAAGGGCAAACACAACAAGGGGACTGGACTATGAGCACATGATAAAAGCGAGAGCACACAAGGGAGGGGTGAGGATAGGTAAGACACCTAAAAAACTAGCTAGCATCTGTTGCCCTTAACGCAGAGAAACTAAAGCAGATACCTTAAAGCAACTGAGGCCAATAGGAAAAGGGGACCAGGTACTAGAGAAAAGGTTAGATCAAAAAGAATTAACCTAGAAGGTAACACCCACGCACAGGAAATCAATGTGAGTCAATGCCCTGTATAGCTATCCTTATCTCAACCAGCAAAAACCCTTGTTCCTTCCTATTATTGCTTATACTCTCTCTACAACAAAATTAGAGATAAGGGCAAAATAGTTTCTGCTGGGTATTGAGGGGGGGGAGCGGGAGGGGGCGGAGTGGGTGGTAAGGGAGGGGGTGGGGGCAGGGGGGAGAAACGAACCAAGCCTTGTATGCACATATGAATAATAAAAGAAAAATGAAAAAAAAATCCCATTTACAAAAGCCTCAAAAACAATAAAGTACTTTGGAATAAATACAAAAAAAAAAAAGACTGGATATATGACTCAAGTAGTAGAGCCCCTGCTTAGCAAGCACAAGGCTTTATGTTCAAACCCCAGTACCAACAACCACCAAAACAAAAAATTAAATTTTTTTTTTTTTGTAGTACTGGAGATTGAACCCAGGTCTGTGAGTTCAAGCAAGCGCTCTACCACTGAGCCACACCCCCAACTCTAACTCTAAAAGTTACTTAATTCTGACCCATGTACAAAGATGTACATTGGACCACTGTCTACTTAAAAAAATGAGAAATCTATCCAAGCAACAGTTCATTAATAATGAAACTCTCAATTATCACAAACCTCTAACTTGGGATATTATACAACTATTATAAAGGATTAGTAAGATTCTGTGTGTAGATATGTACGGTGTATTAACTTTTTTAAAAAAAGCAGAGCTTTGGGCTGGGATGTAGCTCGGTGGTACAGCGCTTGCCTAGCATGCGTGAGGCCCTGGGTTCGATCCCAGCACCAAAAAAAAAAGAAAAGACAAAAAAAGCAGAGCTTTGATTTAAACATAATTCTTTGCTTTATAAACATTTATGACTGCAGAGCAAGGAGTGAAAGGGAGCCTCAATTACGGGTTGGGCGAGGAATAGAATGTTCAAGAGCTGTTTAAAAATTTCTGTGTGACTAGGCACCCGTGGTTCATGCCTGTAATCCCAGCTACTCAGGAGGCAGAGATCAGAAGGATCATGGTTCAAAGCCAGCCTGGGAAAATAGTTCTTGAGACCCTATCTCGAAAAACCTCTCACAAAAAAAGGCTGATGGAGTGGCTCAAGCAGTAAGAGCTCCTGCCTAGCAAGTGTGAGGCCCTAAGGTCAAACCCCAGTGCCAAAAAAAAAAGAAAATTGTTGGTCCTTACAAAAGTCACCTGCTGAGATGCCCCCTCCCCCCAGAAACAGCCTCTCCCCTCCTTATGCCATGAGCCTGCTTGCTTAGGACAGTCCTAACTCTGCTACCAGCCCCAAAGCCAAACCACCCAATTCTAGCTCTGAGAGCACAGTGAGGAAGG